CCCCAAAACCCCAAAACCCCAAAACCCCAAAACCCCAAAACCCCGTCCATTTAATACAAAATTGAAAATGCAATCAAAGCAAGAAATGACAGAAGAATTGAAAGATGGCCACCCTAAACATTTTATTATCCTCGTCAGACATGGAGAACGGACTGATGATCCTGAGAGGGAAGTGCAGTTAGACACAGATGAACCAGAGGTTAAATATGACTGCCACCTAACTGACAAAGGAAAGAACCAGGCCTTTCAGACCGGAGAGTTTATAAAAGAAAGCATTATTGGTCAGAATAGGTTAAAAATATTCCCAAGTGATATCAAAGTTTTCACATCCCCATTCTTGAGATGTATTCAAACTGCTCATAATGTAATCAAAGGGCTAGATTACAAAATTCCAGATATTACCATTGATGATAGATTAGGGGAATTTTTAATGAAGTCTTGGTTTGATGGAATAGAGAAACCTCTAGCTCATTTAACCATTGACCACATGAAGCACTCATACTTCCAAAAGAAATATCTTGGGGAAGAAAAGATGCTAGGCTTTACAAGATATTATGGCAAAGATGCAACTCCTACATCTGAAGATCTTGTGGCAGAGGAAGATGAACAAGAAAGTTTTAATAAGATGGAAAGCAACTCTGAAATAAAGTATCCTGAAACTTACAGTGACATGTATTATCGCTATTCTGGATTCTTCAACCATATAATTTACCAAGAGTTCTTTGAGAATACAGAGGAGGTGGAGAATCGCTCAAAAATTATTATCCTTGTTTCCCATGGATTTTCGTTTGATCCGTTTATTAATTGATTCAGCCCAGACCATGAAAATATTGTCTCGGTCGATTACTGTGCAACAGCCGTGAGCGAAAAGATGTCAAACGAAGACAGATTCGATATTATAGTAAAAGGAGATGCCACACACTGTGGGCTCAAACCAGCAGTATTTTAGATAAAAATAACACATTTTCGGTCGATTAACGAAGACATAAAAATAATTTCAATCAAGATTTAAAAAATAGGGGTTTTGGGGTTTTGGGGTTTTGGGGTTTTGGGG